AGATACGTGGTATGTGAATGAAGATTAGTATTACTTTCGTTCTCTTTAATAAAAAACCTGCTTACAATTCTCTTCGGTAACGTATTTAAATACTCAGTTTTGATTGATATGGCAATAAAAATGAGAGAGTAGAAGATGATTTTATATGGAATAATTGCCAAATACTAGAGATATTAATAATAACTCGTCAAGTAAGTGTTATAAGTTAATGGACAATTTATGGGCAATTTATTAACTGACAGCTGATCAGGAACTGCTATTAGGTACTAAATGTTTTTTATATCTATTGCTGTTCCTTATTATATAATAATATAATATATATATATATAAAGTTTTGGGAAAATGTCCGTTTTTGGAGGTTCGACTGTATTTTTATCAATTTAATCTCTTTACGAGGAATATTTTATCATTATAACAAAATCTTTCCAAAGTACATTTTAATCAGTATAAAATAATAAAATTTATAAAAATAATTATAATTTATTAATAAGAATAATGCACATTATCATATCATATTTTTATATTATAAAACTAAAAGGGATAGGAGTTAGGTCTGGGATGATATCTGAAGATGAAACATGCCCCATAAAGAAGAATGGATGTGGAAGAATTGAGAATGCTTGTTTAGAGTGACAAGATTAGACAAAATCAAGAATGAAAAGATAAGAGAAACTGTTAAACTGGTTTGTCAAAGAAGATTCTAAAGAAGAGGTTTGCAATGAAATTATGTTATTAAGTTATTGAAAAGAAATAACACGAATTTAATGCAAATTCATGAATGCGATGCAAAATAAATAAACTTATATTTCTGTCGGCCAACATACAAAGAATAGATAAAGAAAATCATGAACAGAAAGATGATAGGAGGCAAAAATGTTTGGTAAGCAAGACGGGAATGATGGAGGCATTTGTTAGATTGCGTCATCCTTCACGGCTACAAATAAAGAATATTATTAGAACAGACATTGGCTTTCAGTAGCCTATAACTAAAAATTGCAAGACAGAACTGATATTTCTGTTGAGAATAAATCTTACCTGTCAAAACGTAATGCTATATTTCTCTGGTAGTGATGATGTCTTATTAGGAAATTCTATCGTACATATTCGTATATTTACAAAATTTATAATAGATATTAAATATTATATTATATATAAAGTTATTAAGTTATATGAGACGTATAGTTTCGAAAATAGCTCTTTTTCTGGATTGAAACATAATGTGCCCGATTTTCGTCCTGTCTTTCAGGTTTGTGGCTAGATTAGAAAGTTTATAACAATTATCATTAAAAAGAGCAGAAAAATACATAAAATTATCTAAGTTATAATGCAATTCACTCTGAGTCATAGCAAGTAATTCGCTCATAATAGTAAATTATTTGCTATGGTCCTATTAGTGAATGACATTTGCAAGCAATGAATGATAATAGTGGTGTTAAATTCTACACTTATTTATATTTATAGGGTTTTGAGACGGGAATCAAATCCCCTAAAGCATCATTGCAATGCATTGACTTTGGTATATCCACAAAGTTGCAGCCTTTTATCTTAATTAGAAGCGAAGAAATTTGAACTGCAAGATTTGAAGACAAAGCGAGTTAAATAAAAGTGTTTATAAAGAAAATAAAACCCGAAAAAATAGCATACACCAAAAAATGGGAAAAGATTGAAGTTGTCATCAGTTGATTGTGAGAAAATTATCGAATACCCAATAGAGGAATGACATTTATAGAATGTCATTTAGGATTTTCTTTAGACACAATAATCTAAAAGTGTATTGTAATGTACTCACCAGAGAGACCAGGCATTCCAATCGCCTTTACTTTTATAACTGACATTAAACTTTACAGTAGCCTATATATTGTGACTCCAAGAATATATATACTATGTAATTTAATGTTTTATTATTATTATTACAGTAGATCCCCGCTTATATGTTTTAATTGTTTCCTAGAAAGGTTTTCGTTAAACGAATCTATCGTAAATTGAGTTTATGTTTCCAAAAATATACTATTAGTTACTTAGAAACACGTAAAATGCGACATATCATGTAATCCTAACAGGAAATTTCGTCGTAAAGCGGGTCGTTGTAAACCGAAAGTTTATTGTAACTTATTGTTTGAACAATCATAAAATACGTTCACCGAAATTGGATATTTATTAAAAAAATTAAATTGTTCTTTATACATATATAAGATAAAAGGGGATGAATTTTCAAATCCGTATTATAAAGACTTCTATCTGTTGATGATGATGAGTTACATATTTCTATATATTTTGATTTAAGCTGTATAGATGCAATCAATATAGAACAATCATTATGTGAAAATATAAAGAAATTCATATTTTGTATTAAAAAAATATCTAAACTTTATTTTTATTGACTGATGAATAGTTTCTTTGCTTAATATAAAAATATGTTGAACTTGTACGCGATTCTTAAGCTAAGGCAACATAAACGATCTGCCTACAGGAAGCCTCTCTGGACGACTTTCTATCAGAAGCTGGCTCATATTTAGATATTGGACACGTGAACAAACCCAGAAATTCCCCGCGACCAGTAAAATTTTATCAGTGTGATCTACAAGGATTTTCTTCTTATTCACCGCGAAGCAGGTGCAAACATTATTTTTTTCCAATCTCTTCCATTTTGCATAATTTTCAGTGTTTCTCTTCTGATTTTATAGTAATTTTCATCCTCTTTAAGATCAAAAGCTATAGCATTTTCTTTTCTCCTCTATATCTATCTCTTATATTTTAACTTTTAATAAACTATTTCCTCTCGAAATAAGCCCAATAACATTCTTGTTTCTTTTCTGAATGCCTTTTAGAAGACATCTTTCCTCATTCACTTTTCTTAACACATCTTTCAGTTTAGCTCATTCTCTCCATTTTCTTTCATAACTACATTTGAAAAATTTTCAAATACTTTTCTCTCTTATCTTCTTAAAGTCCTGGTTTCTGTTTTCGTATAATATTGTACTTCAAATACTGTAATTCTTTTCCTCAGATTAACTTTTAATGATTCCCTTTCGTATTTTCAAAAAGATCTAAGAAAACTTAAATATTTAAAAATATACATAAAAATTAAAAATTTCATATTAAGCTAAGCTAAATACGCTAAATATTCTGAAAATTTTAAATAGGAGTATTTGCGATCACTCGGTATTATAACAATCTTTTTTCGTCTCTTTCGGCTATTTTGACTTTCTGAATAAGAGGTTTTTTGGTCTAGATCTTATTTAAATTAAAAAAATCCTTGAATATTTCATAGAAATTCATTACTCCGTGTACTATTCATCACGTTCTCTATAAATCACACATTTTAAGTGTCTCATAACCAAGAGTGTTTATAGGCTATATCAAATATTTAAGAAATTTTATATTATAGGCTACAGTATTTAAAATAGTGCGAAATATGTAAATAAATGTAGCATTTTGTTTAGCTATTATCACAATACGAGTATACACTTAAAGTAAAAAGCAAAGAGAGTGCCAACCTATTGAGATTTTAGAATGAAATATTATAAATTGAAAATTCAGTTTTATTTACTATCTACTGTGACATCGTGTGACGTATTTGTATTTTTATAATTTCAAATTTCTTGCCAAAATGTCGGAAATTTCAAATAAATTATAACATTTTATTCGTGTAATTTTCTAATATATATTCTGATGTAGTGAACGTAAAACTATTATTCCTCGTGTATGTAGACTAATGGAAATCGGCTCCATTCTTATTCTGCGAAAGACTATACTTTGTATAATTTTATCTATTGTTAACGACATTATTACACAGAATTTTTCAATAAATTTCCTTAATTTAGGAGAATTTTTAAGCTACTTTGGAGATAATTAACTCTTTATATCCGGAAATCTGACACTGACTAATGACCCTAAGGTAGAAGATATTCTCCACTTATATCAGGAACGTGTTCAGAATATCACGTAGTAGTCTATCATTGAATCCGTGCGATACCTTCAACACGTTCGTATTGCTACTCTCATAACTAGAGAATAGACACGGTTTTACGAGGCATGGGAGGGCCTTGCTCAAAATTGATAAGAAAATTATTGAATTTTGAAAGGGATGTAGACATTATAGGTATGCGAATAATAAATAATTACGTTTAATTACCAATAGTTCTTAGATTAACTTTTATGAGAAAGTTTTGGCATTAGTGATCACAATCCTCGCTCCCCACTTTTATGTTAATTCCTAAGGAAGGATCTGTATCTCTGTTCATGACATCCAGCATGGACGAGAAGTAGGAACTATGTTCCAGTGTCAATTGAAAGATTTGTGAAAACTTAAATTGTAATAAATTTTCTTAATTAATAAGAATAAAAGAACAATTTTTATTTAAAAAAACATAAATTTTATTATCAATTAAATCTACATAAATCAATTAAAATTTTACAACTCTTTCTTCTTCATTCGTATTATACATTAAGGAGGCACTTCATGTTACATATTCAAAATAGCAGCATCATTTATAACATTTCTCCATTTTGATTAAAAGCTCACTTTTGATATAATTTACCTTTTATTTATATATATATATATATATTTTAAATTTACGTTTGAAAAAATGATATTTCTTAAAAATATTCCATTCAAATTCTCTCGGAAATAATCTACATTTCTTTATATTTTATCTCACATATTGTATTAATTACTTCTCTTCTTTCTAAGAGCTTCAAACTGAAAATGAAACTGAACGTATAGACCTTCTAACAAAGTTTTCATTTGTCAAACTAGACTAAATCACTTTTAAACCATTCGCAGGAAAGAAAGGGGTTACCCAATGCCCCGAGGCTGCAATAAACAATCAACTATTTACAACTAATAAAGCAGTCTCTCCCTATAACTGATTGAAAAATGGTTTTGTCCGGTTTGACAACCGCCAACTTGCATTAGAAGGACTACCGGTATATATCTAATTATATACTTAAGACTTTTATTTATCAATAGTTACGAAGAATATCTACGTTTACCTTCGTGTAAAATTAACTAATGATAATTTTTCAATGTATTAAACGTGTTTTATATTCTTTTTGGGTGAATTTTTGGACAGAATAAGAATTACGTGCGAACCACTTTGACTAGATTGAGTCGATCCACTTATCAAACTACTTCTGGTACCCGAAACAGAAGTTCTAAATTTTTGGCTCACCGTATGGCTTAAATGTCTTTTCACTTTCCACCCAATTAATCTAAGAAATGATTCTCTAAATTTCGATGATATAACATTGTATAAGATAGGATTTAAAGCAGAATTTGTGTACAACATCAATCTGCAGAAATACAGTAAACAATAATAAGCTTCCATACCTAATGACTGTAATTGCTCCGATGATGTTAACATGACATAAATGATAAAAATTCTGAAAGGCAGGAGACAAAAGAAAAAACTTAGAACAACTGCAATCAGCATAAAAACCACTTGAGTTCTGGCTCTCATTTGAAGTCTTTCAGAAGAAGAAGAGAGTTCACTCGTATCCATCATTAAATGCCTAGCAATGTATGTATAAACTATTAGAAGTATAAATAAAGGTATTGCAAAAAATGTGAAAACGATGATAAAGAAATAAATTCTTTGCCAGAATGTCTGAACTAGAGTTAAGCAAACTGGAACCATACTTCCGTCTAAATAGCTTTCGAAGTCGTATTCGGTAAAAATCAGTACTGGACTGGTTACCGTTAATGCTACCATCCATATTGTAAGTATTATAATCATTGCTCGTACTTTTGTACACGTGTAACCAGCTTTTAATGGTTGACATATGGCATAATAACGTTCGAAACTTATCGCCAGTATCGTTAGAACAGAACCGTGAGCGGCAGACATCTCCACGTATGGAACTATTTTACCTTTAAAAAAGAAAAAAAAAGGATTATATTATGTTTCAATTTATTAATTTTAGTGTAAATTTGTATAGAATTATTATCATAAATATAAATTAAGATTTATAGAATAAATCATACAATAGTACAATAGTGAATACAATATATATAGCATTGTATTCAGGCCTGGATTTGCAATAAGCTAAACAAATTGTATTAATAGTTTAGGACCTCGTGTTATAAATTATAGCTTAGGGCCACAACGAGTCCAAGTCCCGATACGACTGTACTTACTATTGTATTGTAAAATAGTAACTCTAATAAGTACAGTAATATACATTACTTAAGTATATATACTATACATTAATAAATGAAATTATAGTCCCTACGACCTAATTGGTTCCTCTAAAAGTCGTAAAGCGCGAACTGAGTGAAGGAAACTTCATATTAAAAGGTTAACAAAAGCTGATGTAACTGGAATCAGAGTTTGCTTTAGGTATAATTATAAGAATAAAACAATATTGCTGATACAAAAAGTAACTCTCTTTGATCCCTTTCAGCATCCATATCGATTGTTGATAAATCATACTTCTTTCGTCTCCCAGTTGGCATCTTTAATTTACTTGGCTAAAATAGGAAATTGGGGTAATGTCTCTGGTAAGCTCAAATATTATTATAAGATTTAAAAAATCAGACAAAATAAAAATAACGTTACTCGGAACAAAGGGGAAAGTTATAATTTCGAACTTTAAATGCAATTTTTCTATTGTTACTTATTTTGTAAAGTTTAAAAGTTTACGTCTTTAAATTTTGCAAGATTAAACTTTTTATACTACTACTTGATTACGACTTAAATGCTTAACTTTGAAAAATAATTAGCATAAATATAATTAAGAATGTTATATCCAGCTAATATCTTAACTAGAGAAGAGCCCAGAGGCTGCGGGTCTCCTTATCTTTGTGAATAAATAAATAAAGGAAAAATCTGCCAAGGAAGATGCCTCTCTGCAGGGCTTTCTTTGGGAAACTGGTCCCTATTTTTAGGTATTTCACATATAAATAAAACTCTAAAACCCCCATGTAAATAGCCTGTGAGGTTCGAACCCACGACCAACTATCACTATTCAGTTGTTTTTATCAACTTGAGAACTGGTGGGCGCACAAACGCATGTTTTATGCATATGTGTAGACAATAAGTTTACTCTTCATCTTCAACTTTATTTGTTATATCCGCAGCGATGAAAGATTGAATGTAGGTTTGTATGTTCTAATTCTAGCCTTTCTAATATCATCTCTAGTTCTGCCACTATATCTAGCAATAATAATTTGGAATGGCAGTTATACTTTAATTATCATTATACTAGTCATTTATTCTGTTATGACTTATACCCATGCCCTGTATCTAATTTTCAATTAGAATCATTCCAAAAACTAAAATTATAATTCTAGTTTAGAAGGTTGTAAATTTGATTTAGGTGTTCATTTAGAAAATGTCGTACTAGTTTATATTCCGGTGCTGTGATGTATAGTTAGATTTACAGATTTCCATATGATGTGGGCAGATGTAACGATTTATTATTCAGCAAGAATTGTAAGTAGCATTCACATAAAACGAGACAATCGACAGGAAAAGAATTTATAGTAGACCATAAAATGTTAACTTTATTTATTAGGAAATGAAAATAAAATCTAATAAATGGGTCCTACCGAAATGTATTTTTGATGAGAACCAGTAAAACTACTCAAATGCATTATAAACTTCAATTTTTTTTAACTAATATAAAAATATATATTTAAAAATTTAAAGCGCAATTTTCTTAAAAAGATAAAGTAGGAGGAAAGAAATCCAGTGGTTTCAATAGATTAAGAAAATAAGAATAAATTATAAATAAAATTTATGTGGAAAAATTTTATTATTCGAATAGAAAAATAATGCCCGGAGCCAATACACAGTTTAACATTGAAGACAAACTTATTTAAATGTGACTGTTCCATCTGAGGAGTGAGAAACAAGGAAGACAGTTTCCATAACTACAGAGTATTATATTTTACTGTATATATCTTTTGGTTAGAAAGAACTGGAGTATTTTTAGCTCCAGGCCATTGAATGTGTTGTGTCAAATAACAGCTCCATCGAGAATTTGAACTTTTTTACAATGTTTGACAATATTTAGTTGAAACATTGTAAAGCGTGACCAAATTCGAAAAAAAAAATAAACTCCCCTAGATGAACTTTCTATTAAAAAACATTGAATTGGTTTCTTTTGTACTTTTATTGGCATATTTACTGATTATGGGAAAATTTCAAGGGATTTCTTGTGTTGGATGAATATAATCAATACAATAGATATTGTAAAATTCATTCTTTCAACAGAAAAGTTTATTATTAGTTTTCGTATTTCTTAAAAATTCTAAATTTATCAGCTGTGAGAAATTTTAATTTAAAACGATTGCTTTTTTTCATAAAATACAGTAGGAATTACTCTAAAAAATTGTAGTAAATGCTCGTTTTTATAAAAGTTAATGAGCTTAAAGTCAAAAAATTAATTGAAAACTTTGCTGTTTTTTCATAAAATGCAAAAGCCATAAAATTTAGCCAGCTTGAACTCTAAAAAGTACACGTTTTTACTTTTTTTTTGATAAAATGCAATAAGTTATAAAGTAATTAATTGTAATAATAATAATAATAATAATTGTTATTGGTGTTATAATCAACAGCGCTTTAACAATAGCACATTAATACTAGAAGCAGGAAACGATACCATAACTGACAAATGAATTATTGTTTATAGGGAAGTCAACCATCATAGAACAATTATGAGAGTGAAGATAAGCTGAAGTAAACTATCGTTTGCGGGTATGTCAGAAGATAAACGAGGTAAAAAAATAATAATAATAATAATTTGAGAAATACTGTAATTGGATTCTATTTATTTTTATAAACGTATTAATTAAATTTCTCTATAGGATATTAATTTGTAAGTGTTAGTATTTTAAATTAATTATTTAGTCAATTAAATAAATGAAATAATTGATTAAGATGATGCCATTTAATGCGTAAGATAATAGAAAAAGTAAAGGAAATATTGCAGTAAAGAAAATATCGGTAATGTTTATTGCTTCTTTTGTAACAAAGACAATGTCTTTTCTTCGATGATAAGGAAACTGATGTATTATGTAATGATTTTTCTACTTTTACTGTAATGAACCTCGCGTACTGTTTCTAGTAAATGTATAGAATGTATTGTAAATCTCTATCGAAGTATCTCTCAATTGGAAAAACAAAACCTGTACTTTAAAAAAAAAATTGAAGAAAATTGGGAAATAGAACATTATTCTGTAATAGTTTTTATTGTAACTCTAAGTCTACATAATCATTTGCTACACGCAAGAAAACTATGACTATTACCTGTAAAAAGCTCAATTTTGAACGTTCTTTATTCTAATTAACAGCATCTTTAAATTATTATATAATTAAAATGACCTAAATCATTTATATAATTGTCTTAATTGTAATCAAACCTTGATATAACGCTCTCTTCAATAGCGCCTCTGCCATTTAATAAATACTTGTAAACGGATCTATTCTATAAATACTAAATAGACAACCTTATAGTATCTATGATAAATTAGCTGACTTTCCGTCTTGTTTAAGGCATTTCGGTATAGCTCTACACTCAATTTAACACTAGTTGAGGCGAACAAACAATAGCAAATTTTGACTACACTTAATTTTAATTGTAATTATAAATCGTAATTTTTAAATTATCATTACGCTATAATAATTTAACCGATAAGGCACTGTTTAAGTGAAAAATATAAATAATAAAAATAAAAAAAATCTTAGTCACTGAAGATATATTTAAACAGGATGAATATACTTTTTCGTGACAAGATTCCCACGAGAATGATAGTATTTTCAAAGTCAATTTTTCAAAAGATGTCAAAGATGATGCCGATTTTGTTGCAATGAGTGGTGTATTATATTATATTTAAAAAAATTCTATAAAATAAAACGTTTTAAAAACTACCCTTTTGAGATACTATTACAAATATTTCCCTTCTTGCAACGTGAAATTTTAACATTTTTCTAGCGAAACAATTGATTTTTGTTGCTGCAAGAAGCGTTAAGCATCGTTTTATCCGCCTACTCTAATCGTTTAAAATTCTTTCAGAATCTTTTCGAAGTCTTACAGCGATTTGTCTTTAGATGCCTCCTAGGGTTACTATTATATATATATATATATATATTTTTTTTATAAATAATAAAAAAGAGTGTTCAAAATGGTTTATTTTGTACATATTTTAATATTTTCCATTCAAAATATTTTATAAAAATAAAAATTGGCTTTTTTTAATCAGAAAAAGTCATAGGGAAAGCNCAGATGTTATTATATATATATATATATTTTTTTTATAAAAGTATATTGAACTGTAGAAAATTGCCTTTTTAAAAAACACTTTCTTAATTTCTTTTTACGATTACTCTGAAGACAAATGAATATTAAAAACTGTCATATTTCATTTTAATTTAATAATTTCAATAATAAAATATACAGGTTAGACTAAAAGTCAGTTAACCGTGTTTTATGTGTTTAAATACGTTCATTAATACGAATTGTTAATATTGGTTTCTTTATGTTCCTGTCAGTGGCCATTGTTTAGAGGTTTGACAATAAAATATTTCTGTAATTAATTTATATCATTTCGTCATATTTTTTTTTATAAAAAAATAATGTTTAAAAAAATTAATTTTAATTAATAACTTCGTTTCAAAATTTCATAAAAATAAAATATATAATATTTCCATGTGAATATTTTAAATTTTGGAATATATTTTACCATTTAAATGAATTAAAACCGATCTTCTGGAATCGATATCGCGTCAATCTTCGTTCTTTTACAATTTCGTTCGTATGTAGAACTGTCCGTTAAGACGATTGCTAGGCAATTTGAAAGTAATTATTGCAATTTAGAAGTAACTGGATGAATAACGATGCGCAATTAACTTTTTAATTGCGTGTTTCGAGTAAAAGTAAGTGAAAAATCGATAAGAATTTTTATTAAATTGTAAATATTGTCGTTAATATTATTTTCTTTTAATAAATATAGTTCTAAGTTAAATTATGTATTTTATCCACCCATACATTACATACTTCATACATTTTTATATCACGATCTCATAGATTATTTTAGGAAATAAATCAGTAAAAAATAAAAAATAAATAATTATCTAAAACTATAATAATATGAATAATTATATATAATCTATCATCACCAAAGCGTGAAAATCATTAGGAAAATAGCATAATAACTAGATACGTTTTGAATTAAATTGACCATTTCAAGCCTAGAAAAGTCAATATTTCACTTTAAAAAATTAATTTAAACGTTAAAAAAGTTACCATTTTTAAATTTTTAAAATAATAAGCATAAAATTTTAAGTGTTTAAAGCAATTTTATCGATTTATACTAATTTTGTTTTTTTTTTAAATTGATAATCCTCATTATCTTATCCGCTTCTCCGCATCTTCTGATTTTTAAACATTTATTTTTCGAATTAATACGTTAAATTTGTGTTTTACAACAAACTAATTATTGCTTATTAAATTATCTTCTAGTGGTTTAATTTAATTTCATGCATGAAGTTTGGTTTCCTTTTTTTTAATTAACAAATAGATTAATCGAAGCTTTATAAAGAGAGTTGGCATGCTACTATCGTAATTAATTTAATCGTGTTTCAATAGAACTAATGTTAAAATTGAATCTAAAAATATAATTTATTCAAAAAAACAATTACAATTAAAAATACCTTTCGAGTCATTAATTTGTATTTTCTGAAATTAAGTTTGAGATTTTTTAAAATATATTTAAATTTATGTTACTTTAAATAAAATTTAGCTGATACACGAAGACCACTAACAACCGTGTAGAACGTAAGGACCACCAACGAATATCTAACACTAAAGGACCAACAAAAATTATCTAACAAATGAAGACTATCAATAAATTTAGAATTCTCTCATTATTTAATCCTTTATGTACTGTACTGTACATAAAGGATTTCGAACCAACCATACTCCTCAGTGTGTTTAAACAGCTTACATATATAAATATTAATTACAAATAAACATGATATAACGTAACTGCTTCAATTCTTAAATGGTTTTATTTTTATATCAAAGAATATTAAGTCAGATAACATAATAATAATAATAAAATACATAAAATAACATTATTTTCAAGCGAACATTCCAAGTAAATTTAGAAAACGATCATTCGATTTGTATATATAAATATTAAAACTTAAAAAATAACATATTTTATGATAAACAATAATATATATATATATATATATATATATTTTTTTTTAATATTATCCAAATGTTTTTGGATATAACCTAGCTACATGCGTATTATACATGGTATATAATCTAAGTGAACGTGAATGAAATTAGTGAGATTTCATTGTATAGTCATTGCTCCCCCCGAAAGAAATATCATATTAATAATATGTATAATGAGATTTTTACGAGTGTAGTTCACAGGCGCTGCAAGAATTAATAATGAGTTAATATATTCTATCACGACAATAAAATGTTCAGATAACAGTAGTACATGTAAAATATTCACTTTTAATTTGTGCAGATTTAATTGCGATTTTATTCTTTTTAACAATATAACATTTAATAGAATTAATATATTATGTAAATTCTTTTATTAGTTACTAAAAATAAAAACATGTTTAAAATGTTTAAAAGTATAAAATGCTTTATTATTTAAATGAAGGTTGTAAAAATAATTTTATAAATTTAATAGTCTTCAAAAAAATAATATTAATAGATTAAAATTACAAACATTATAGTAATTAATAAATGTGACTATTAATAGTGTTGTAAGTTGAGATCGTTACATTGAAGTTTAGAATTTCCTTTGAAACTAAAGTTACGTAATGATTTCGAAATTGATTTCGTTATTAGTAAATGTACTGTACCAATATGTGTAAATACATTGTTAATAAATGTAAGTTCAATGTTACCCTGTATATACGGTGAAATCCTATATATTGAGTCTATACAGGGTGTCTATAATTAAACAATTTACATCATCCTGGACACAAAACTATTAGAGGTGCATGGAAAAAATTCTGTAGGCACGTTTATCTATGAGCAAATTTTCAAAAATAGTTATAAATTTCGCCTCTAAGTGTTTATAACGGCACCACTATCATATCAGCATCACAACAATAGCGCTATAAAGACATTCTGCAAATTTTTTTCATCCCAAACTACAGCAAGGAAGATGTTTGAGTAACATTACGTTTATGCAAGGTTGCAATATATATCTGAGAGTAGCGGAATGTATATTTATCATACATAAAATCCATTTAACACCAAGAAAACATTTTATTCTGTAGTTTGAAGCTACATAAAAGTTAATAGGAACAGGATGTACAAAGAATATTCTATTTAATATGCACATATTTATAAACAGAAAAGAATATTTTTAAAAAATAATCAAGAATGATGCAAAATTAAATTGAAAATAGTCACTTTACATCACTACATAATATTGGTTTTTATTTGTGTTGAAATCAATATTCATGAACATTCGTAACCTATTTATTTTATTGTTCGATAATTAATATAATAATGAAGTTAACCTATCACAAATAGAATATTGATTATTTTATTTCTAAAAATAAAATCTTTCTCTAGATTTATGTAAATCAATAGATAGATCTTATATTTATATTTCATTGATCGCATTAAAATTTTAATAAATAAATTCCATGTCTACATCCGTAAATCTTGTTTATAACATAGTGTAAATAAATTCTAAGTTCTTAGTTTTGAGTTCCTAAGTTTAACTCTTCTTCTTCTTTTTTTTTCTTTATTAGCGTGCCACAGAGCCCTTAAAAATGGCCACATTCAATACATACTGCATAAAAGATTTAAATATAGGCCTATACATTTCGCTAATTTAACAACTGTAATTTAGTTTGTAGAATTATTCATTCTATTTTAATTAAAAGCGCGAGAAGTCAGGCTAAAGATTAATACGTGAAAAATAAACCAAATATATCATATCTCATAATTAACTCCTAATGAACAGTTCGAGTGGGAATATAGTGAATCTAAGCTTATTGTTCTTTTATTTACAAAAAGAAAAAGGAAAAAAATAATGCTAATTTTTAGAATAGAGTAGGAGAGAACCTAATAATATATCTATCTGCTTTACAAGTAATGATAAATCATTATGCAATTAAGTTTTAATAGATCTAGTTACATGACAGATTAGAGTATATGATTTGTTCTGTATTATTTTTATAAGATATAATTCGAGATAATATATCTATNTGTTACCCTGTATATACGGTGAAATCCTATATATTGAGTCTATACAGGGTGTCTATAATTAAACAATTTACATCATCCTGGACACAAAACTATTAGAGGTGCATGGAAAAAATTCTGTAGGCACGTTTATCTATGAGCAAATTTTCAAAAATAGTTATAAATTTCGCCTCTAAGTGTTTATAACGGCACCACTATCGTATCAGCATCACAACAATAGCGCTATAAAGACATTCTGCAAATTTTTTTCATCCCAAACTACAGCAAGAAAGATGTTTGAGTAACATTACGTTTATGCAAGGTTGCAATATATGTCTGAGAGTAGCGGAATGTATATTTATCATACATAAAATCCATTTAACACCAAGAAAACATTTTATTCTGTAGTTTGAAGCTACATAAAAGTTAATAGGAACAGGATGTACAAAGAATATTCTATTTAATATGCACATATTTATAAACAGAAAAGAATATTTTTAAAAAATAATCAAGAATGATGCAAAATTAAATTGAAAATAGTCACTTTACATCACTACATAATATTGGTTTTTATTTGTGTTGAAATCAATATTCATGAACATTCGTAACCTATTTATTTTATTGTTCGATAATTAATATAATAATGAAGTTAACCTATCACAAATAGAATATTGATTATTTTATTTCTAAAAATAAAATCTTTCTCTAGATTTATGTAAATCAATAGATAGATCTTATATTTATATTTCATTGATCGCATTAAAATTTTAATAAATAAATTCTTTAATTGTGTAATAAATTTTTGAAAATATATGTAAAAATTAATAAAAGAGTTGGTTTTTAAATTTAAAAATATGTATTATTATTTATTTTTATTATTTGTTAATTATTAAAATATTTATTTTTAATGTATTTATATTTATATATTTAAATTTATTTACATTAATTTTTCCACCTATTTAACTCTCCCCCTGAACTGAAATTTAAGTAATAAAATATTCATTTATCTTCTCATTCCTATTAGTTTTATTTATTTTACGACTTGAATTTCTATTAAAATATTGTAAAATTAACCGTTATTATAAATTAAATAAACTAGCAACGAGTTGCTCAACTTTCCCGGAAACATTTAAAATTTAGGTGGCGCCATCTGTTGTCATATTTTATTAAAAACTTCTTCTATTTTCAACTATTATAAAATGGCAAAAGACTTAATTTTGGGAGTAGGGATGAGTTTTATTAAAAAAATTGTAAATTCTAATAACGAGTCTAACTCCACACATATCGCGTTATCTCCCCCATCTCTTGACCTTTAACCACCAAAATTTAACAGCATTAATCTCCCTAATACACAAACCTTCCTGCAAAATTTCAGTAATTATCGATAAAAAGCACAGGAGTTATTAAGCTTCAGAGTAAACAAAATCATCCCCCCATACATACACTAACATCCATATATACAGAAATTACCACCCGAATTTTTTTGAATTTCTCGACTTTTCAAGGTGTCCCAAGTCCAAAAACAATAATCTTAGGGGTGGTCATCTTTTGACCGATTGCCATACTATCCTTCATTTATATATAATAGCCGGGAAAGTCATACAAAAAATTCAAGCGAATAATATATACTAAAAATTTCAAAATTATAATTCGTGACAATTTTATAAATAAACAGTTAGATTCATAATTAAATTTCATTAATTTATCTCATCATTATAAATAATCATTGTATTTAAATATAGTATTATATATATGAATGTTAATATAATAGTAATATATTGCATCTTTATCTCTCTATTGTTTACAAACATGTTTACAGATTAAATGATAGGATGATTAATTATAATTATTTCAGATATGAATATTACAATTATTGATAATTGTATATATATGTATATATATATATATATATAGCTATAATTAATTACGGTTATTTATTTTCAATACGATATTATTAAATTTATTAATATAATAAAATTACTAACCATATTTGAAAAATATTCTTACACTATGTATAATGATTATTACAATTATAATTTAATACAAATTTCAAAGTTTAATGTATGTCTAAAATATTATTTTTATTTATTTTTAGTAATATTTTATCTCTAATTAAAATCTATAAACTTGTATACTATAGTTAATTTCTGTATATACAGTATTATGTAAATCCAGGAGTTTGTCCTGTTTAACTCCATCAAAGGGTTACGTGGTTTTCCGGGATTTCTTCACGTTAATAACACTAAAATAGTTTACATAATTATCTCAAACTACCAATTTGAGAAAATATACAACGTTTATTAGCGTTAGAAAATCGAGATCACCTATAAATAGGTGTTAGTTTCCATAGTAAGTCACCCCCTTGGCAAATCTCCTATACGTTGCATTGCCTCGCACCATCAATCCAACCCTATTACTAAAATGAAATAATACCATAAAATACAATTAAGCATAAAATTTTCCAAAAAAACCTACGTACTTCAGTTTCAATGCCTTTTTTAGTTTATAAAAAAAGTTTTTAAAATAAAATTTTAAATACTAAAACACCTTATGAAATTCTAATATTGTATTACAGAATTTCTATTGTAATCGTTCTATATCAAGAACTAATCTTCATTACCTTGAATATTTTACGAAATTTAAGTAACATATACATAAATTTCACAAAAAAAAATTTTATTATAGAACTGATCGTTTGGAATCCGGGTTCGAGATCCAGTTCTGGATTCTTCATGGTAATCAATTTAACTTTATCTTACTGTATAATAAATTATAGTAAATTTTTGCAACGAATTTGATTAAATTTGCATGATTTTGAGCTAAATATTTATCATTGCAAATTCTTCCTGTTAAATGTATTTAACATAATCTTATTGTTAAAAATCACTTCGGATCATTTCAAATCACATTATTTATCGTACAAGAAGAAATTAAAAAGTAAGAAAAAAATAAAATAGAATATTCGATCATTACAGAACGAAATTTATTCAGCCACAATTGAAATAGAATTACTTTTTTTTGAAAATAAGAAAAATAATATAAAATTTTCTAAACAACAAACTATTTCTTTAACTTTACGTATATATTTGCGATAGATCGATGAGATGTGTGATAATATAATCTTTCTTTTATTATTATTATTATTATTTTCAATTTTTTTTATTAAACAACTAAATTTGATAGTTGAAAAAATTCTTTGAAAATATATTTTGTTCAACAGACAGTTAAAAATATTACACATTATTAAGAAAATTGGAAGTATTTTCATCACTTTTTTAAATTCGATCGCTAGAAGAATTTATGTTTTTTTGTAAAAGTAAATCTTTTAAACTTTAAATTTGAAACAATTTGAACAGAAAGTATACCTTTTCACTGAAAAACTCAGATTTTAAATTGGATATTGTTAAAGAAATTATTAATACCGAAGAAAACAATAAATAAAATATAAAGAAATATTTATTTATTTCTTTTCTAACTTTATCAAATATCACAATAT